TTGGCCTGCATTGCGGGGGATGTTGCTAATGAAGACCATAAAACGTATTTGTTAATTGAAGATTCACTGTGGGTAGCTGATGGGTATTCCCAGCTGGACCTGGAGTTCCTGGGAAGAGTGTGACCTTGATACTTATTAGCCCGCTCAGATTGACTCAGAGCCTGAGGCCTCTCACAGTAAGGGAGATGGTTTTGCTGGAGTCCAAGATTATGAGGGAACTGTTTAGAACAAAGATTAAAAATGGCTGTTTGATAGGTGCTGTAAATTGAAGCTTTGGTGCATTTTTTTAAAGCAAAGAATAACTTGGTGGTTATGAAATAAACCGTGTGCATTACTTTGTTTCCTTCTTTTGCTTCCCATTTTATAAACGTGAGCTTTCCTATCTACACAGCAAAGGTATTTTCAATAGCCTTTATACAGAAGTTGAGGGGAAATGCTAAATGACCGAAGGTGGGTTACACGATCCAGGCTGGGTAGGGTCTTGGTGTCACCTTCACCTGTTACCTTCTGTGGGCTTACCTGGAAAGTCTGAGGAGTGCATTTGTCCCCTTAGAAAGGGAGCTTTGTCCGACACAGCCATCCTGTCCAGTCTGTTAGGCGGGTAGGGTAAGTTCTTTGTTTAGAACATTCATGTTGTAACATTAATTGGTGTGTTAAGTGAATCCTTTGGGTTAACATGGGTGGGGGGAGGAGGGCACCAGCCAGTCTAGGCATAAACTTTGCATTATTTTTAATAAAATAAGTTGTTCTCTTTCCCAAACATGCACGCACTCACTCTCTTATTTTGCAATAGATTTTCGTTTTTTAAAAAGGGGCTATAACACAACATTCTTTCAGTTAGACTTTGGAATTGAGCCAGAGGTGCCTACAACAAGTTTACTATAGTCTAAAATTCTCCGTCTGTGAGGATTCCAAGGGGTTTTCAGGCCTCCACAAACGCGTTAGTAATCCTCTCCTCTCGTCTCCGTGCCTGCGGCACACACAGTCTGTGTTCCCGGTCGCCGTGCCCACCGTCAGCCACCGGGAGAGCAGCGGCCCCAGACAGCCTCTGCAGCATTTGAGAAATGTATTCCTGAAAGTGTGTGGGAACACGGTGTCCCGGCAAGTCTGTGAGGAGCGGCCAGTCACGCCTGAGGACTTGCGTGCCCCGGAGGGGTGCCCACTGGACCGCGCCCGCATGTGGGCTCTGGGTGGCCAGGAATAAAGTGTGCAGTCATGTTTGCTCTTCTAGGTAGTCAAGAACAAGACAGCTACATCTGTTGCCTAGAAAAATATGTATTTTTAATATGTGCTGCCGAGTTTTACATTTGAGAAAACATTCTGGCCGAGGAACGCGCCCCCTGCCGGTCAGGCCGGCCAGCCCGCGTGCCCTGTCCGTTACCAAGGCGCTGCCCCGCCAGCTTCCCTGCCGCTGCCTCTTCTGCACTGGAATCGTTCAACGACTTCTTGATTCTTGTGCTCAAAGACAGCTTGTTCTCATTCACCAGGTGTCTGCCGAGGGCCGGGTAATGTGCCGGGCTGAGCCGGGCTGAGCTGTCCTCGGGAGACAAAGCCCTTCCTGCGTGCTTCTCCTTCTCACTAGTTCCCCTGGCCTGCGGGAGGCTAGAAGCGGGAGTCAGGTGCCCGTGGTTGGTCCTTGGGGGCCTCTTCCTGGTCTCTAGAGACCTCCTTGCTGCTGGTGGGGAGCGCGTCTGGTTCCTTCACCTAAAAGGGGGCACCGAGCCAGTCGTCACGCTCCTCACCTCGTGAGCCCATCCGACCTCAGTTACCTCCCCATCTTTAAAGCCATCCCATTAGGAATTCGGGGCTTCAGCATGTGAGTCTGGGGGACACAACCACACTTCATACTCTTCCGGGGAACCTCCTTGAGCTGCTTAACTGGGCTCTTCTGTGTCTTGTTAACTGTGTTCTGTGTTACCTTTTCCAGACCTAGTTCCTCACTGTTGAGGGGCACAACCTCTAACTTCTTGAGGGAGAATGAATGCGAGGCAGCAGTGAGTCCTTGAATTTGAACATGCCCCCCCTGCCCCCACCCCAGTTGGCTGGGCACAGAATTCTCTGCTGAAAGCGCCTCCCACCTCGGGGCGTTCCGGCGTCCACGCGTGCTGTCTGTTCAGTGCCTCTCGGTTCCCTCACTCCCAGGACCCCAGGCTTCAGGAGCACCGCCCGCCCACCGCACCCTCATGGCTTATTCCTTGCAGATTTACTCTCTCCTGCATGGCTTATTCTTTGCAGATTTACTCTCTCCTGCACTTTGTACTGCAGGAAGCCCGTTTTTGCCACTCTTTCCGGAACAGAGTTGGGAGGCCAGTCCTGCGAGGACACCTGTTGGGCCCGGCCTGCCTGGCCGCCCCTTCAGAGAGGACAGCACGCGCCTCAGCCTCAGCCTGCGGGCGGGGAAGCAGTTCCCGGGCCCAGTGGCGTCTGCGTGCGGACTTTCCCGAAGTGGAGGGCCGCGCCGGGTGCCGCTGCTTCGAGCCCGTTGCTACAAGGTCGGACGTGGAAGCAGGCGGTGGGGAAACATGATCGTAAACACACATGGAAAGTAGCTGTGCTCCACGCTGTGGCGCCGCGGTCGGAGAGTGGACAGTAGCCGCCCTCCCAGCCCCGTCTCGGGCGCCCCACGCTGCGCCGGGGTGCTGCTGGGAGCGGGAAGCGGCCCTCCTCCCTCACCGGTGTGCCCCGGGTCGCTTCAGGGAGGGCCTCAGAGCTCCTGCTGCGGTGGCGCCACCAGCCTCTCAGGGGCCGCCGCTGGGTGCTGCCCCGTCACCCCCCCGCCGGCCGCGCACACGCGCTCGCCACGTCCCCGCCCGCGCTGGTTCTCGTCTCTGCTGCTCCCCGAGGCGGTGGCGCGTCGCTGTTCTGATTTGCGTTCCCACTGCAAGGGGTGGCGAGCATCTGGCGGCCTTTGGCTGTGTGAGCATCTTCTTGGGACACGCGTCTGACCAGGTCATTGTTTTCCTGCGGGAGGCTTTTTGCTGTTGAGTCGTGCGAGCACGTCATGAGTTTCGGGTATTAGCCCTTGGCAGAAGGGTGATTTGTGAATATCTTCTCCACTCAGTTCCATGCTCATCTTGGCAGTGATTTCTTTGTGCAAAAGCTTCATTTCGACGTACTTTTGTTTCCCTTGTCACGGGACATTGGAAGTCCAAGAGCTCGCGCCTGTTTTCTCCTGCAGGCGTTCACTTTGATGCTCCCATCACTACACGCCGGCCAGCCTGCCAGCACTCGAGAGGTGTCAGGCCGCTCAGCAAACCCCAGGCTGCAGCTTTGCTTCAGGCCACTTCAGCCAAGTGTTAAGAGTTTCGCGCTCCCATAGTTTCTAAATTCTAAAAGTGGGTTTTCCCGTAGAACCTTAAATTCCCGTAGAATCTTAAATCTTAAATGTCCGTGCCACTGTTCACAGTGTAGTGGCTCAGAGAGGCAGACACCGTGTGCGTGTGTGTGACACGTCCCTGGCCTGGGGCATCACAGTGCCTCTTCATGCACAGAAAAGGCCCAGTTCTGAGTTCTGCAGGGTCACTTAGCCTGGTGTCTTGATTTCATTCTTTAAACTTTTCCCTTTTGATTAATTACAAAATTCAGAAAATTTTCAGTGGCGACCGCCATCTGCACACCTCCTGTGTGGGTCACTGATGATGTAGGACGCAGAGTCAGGCAGCAGGACACCTGCAGAGGTGTGTTCCCCGCTGGCTCCTGCTCCAAGACCAGGCCTCAGGTACCCACGAGGGACGCCAAGTTCGAGGTGGTCACGTCCATCAGGCTCAGCTCCATGGAGGGCTGGGCTGTGCTTTTTCTGTTAAGCCATTCTTTGGAATGCCTTTCCATCTTTCTGACTTACTAATTTATTGGTAACTTACAGTGTTAGAAAGAAAATGCTAACTTGTATTTTCTGCTATGATGGTATCTGCAGTGGTTCCAGAAGAACGAGACAAAACGAAAGCTGCCCACAGCTGTACCCAGTCCAATTGCATTTCACACTTACCAAGAGTTCGCATTTGGACAAGAACCAAAACCGAACCACACGTGAAATAAGACTAAATTAACAGATGCCAATCTTAGAGGTTACTTTTATTTAATGTTTTGCACATTTTTAGTCTTCGTTCCAGACTTGTAAATGTTCATCTTTGCTTGAGCGTGCTGGGAATCGAGTGTATTCCCTCCCTACCCTGAGGGAGCCCTTTTGGCTGACGGGCCTAAAGCTCTGTCCCTGTAAGCCTGTGTCAAGCTCAGAGGTAGAGTTGGGGAGAACGTGGGCCCCTTCTGGCTCCGCCCGTCATTGTGGCAGTGCTCGTGTGAGCACAGGTGTGAGCGAGCTAACCCTGCCCCGCTGCACACAAGGCTGGGGGACGCCCTCCTGGCACACACCAGCCGTCTGTAAAGAACCTCCAGAGCTCTTCCGGCGCCCTGGCACAGCCTGGAGCCAGCACGGCCCTGTGCGCGGCAGGCCTGCCCCTGCAGGCTGGCTTCTATTCCTCCTCAGCTCCCCGACGTAGCTCTAATCCGGGACTTGGGTTCTGCTCCCGAATTCTCCTTGTGGGTCCTGTGTGGTTGGTTCCTGGGCGGAGTGGCCATGGTGTGCAGCTGCAGGTCGGGGGCACCCTCCCCTGGTGATTGGTGTTCTGTGAGGTCCTTTGTACCCCAGGTCCCTTTCACAGGGCCGGGGGACTTGGGCTGATATGTCTGCCAGGCGTGCTGACTTGGTGCACTGTGACCCCAAGGTTACACTTTTTCTTAATGGGAAACTTCATTATTGTTTGCCTGCAACATTCCTTTGGCCAGCTCTGGTTCTGAATGAGGTTTTGTTTCTTTTTCCAGTTCCTATCTATGAAGCTATAGGCTGCCATTGATAGAGCTTCACTTAGGTTCTTTGAACTGTGGCCCATTTAGAAATATTGAGGATTTGTTCTTTATGTTCATAGTGTGCAGACATGAAAAGAAATACAAGAACAGCGTGACAGTCACACAATTCTATAGCAATCTTTTCTTTGTCTTAACAGATGCAGCAGCTTTTTTATGAGAATTATGAACAGAACAAAAAGGGGTACATTAGAGACCTCCATAACAGTAAGATCCACCGAGCCATCACACTGCACCCCAACAAAAACCCCCCCTACCAGTACCGGCTCCACAGCTACATGCTCAGCCGCAAGATCGCCGAGCTCCGCCACCGCACCATCCAGCTGCACCGAGAGATTGTCCTGATGAGCAGGTACAGCAACACCGAGGTCCAGAAGGAGGACCTGCAGCTGGGGCTCCCCCCTTCCTTTATGAGGTTCCAGCCCCGCCAGCGGGAGGAGATTCTCGAGTGGGAGTTTCTGACCGGGAAGTATTTGTACTCTGCCGCCGATGGCCAGCCCCCGCGGAGGGGGATGGACTCCGCCCAGAGGGAGGCCTTGGACGACATTGTCATGCAGGTCATGGAGATGATCAACGCCAACGCCAAGACCCGGGGCCGCATCATCGACTTCAAGGAGATCCAGTACGGCTACCGGCGCGTGAACCCCATGTACGGGGCCGAGTACATCCTGGACCTGCTGCTGCTGTACAAGAGGCACAAGGGCAAGAAGATGACGGTGCCCGTGCGGAGGCACGCCTACCTCCAGCAGACCTTCAGCAGGGTCCAGTTCGTGGAGCACGAGGAGCTGGACGCCAGGGAGCTGGCCAACAAGATTAACCGGGAGTCCGGGTCCCTGTCCTTCCTCTCCGACTCCCTGAAGAAGCTTGTTCCCTTTCAGCTCCCCGGGTCCAAGAGTGAGTATAAAGAGCCCAGAGAGAAAAAGATAAACATACTGATTCCGCTGTCTGGACGTTTTGACATGTTTGTGAGATTTATGGGGAACTTCGAGAAGACCTGTCTCATCCCAAACCAGAACGTCAGGCTCGTCGTCCTCCTTTTTAACTCCGACTCCAACCCCGACAAGGCCAAACAAGTCGAACTCATGCGGGACTACCGCGCCAAGTACCCGAAAGCCGACATGCAGATCCTGCCTGTGTCTGGAGAGTTCTCCAGAGCGCTGGCTCTCGAAGTGGGATCTTCCCAGTTTCATAACGAATCTTTGCTCTTCTTCTGTGACGTCGACCTGGTGTTTACTACAGAATTCCTTCAGCGATGTCGAGCAAATACTGTTCTGGGCCAACAAATATATTTTCCCATCATCTTCAGCCAGTACGATCCAAAGATTGTTTATAGTGGGAAAGTTCCCAGTGACAACCATTTTGCCTTTACTCAGAAAACGGGCTTCTGGAGAAACTATGGGTTTGGCATTACTTGCATTTATAAGGGGGATCTCGTCCGAGTAGGCGGCTTTGATGTTTCCATCCAAGGGTGGGGGCTGGAGGACGTGGACCTTTTCAACAAGGTGGTCCAGGCAGGGCTGAAGACGTTTAGAAGCCAAGAGGTCGGGGTGGTCCACGTCCACCACCCTGTCTTCTGCGATCCCAATCTTGATCCCAGACAGTACAAAATGTGCTTGGGGTCCAAAGCCTCAACGTATGGGTCCACGCAGCAGCTGGCAGAAATGTGGCTGGAGAAAAACGACCCCGGTTACAGTAAAAGCAGCAATAATAGCGGCTCAGTGAGGACAGCCTGATGTCCAGCCCTGCTGGAAAAGACATTTTTAATTATCTAATTTATTTTTCAGAAATTTTTTGTATGATCAGTTTTTGAAGTCCATATGAGGTTATATTTTACACGTGATTTTTCTTACAAAGGACTCTTTGGAGATTGAGCTTTTTGAACAAAAATGTGATCATGTTTGCCTTTGAGCACATTTCTTGCTGGATGTTATGTAGCAGACCCGCTTAATTATGACTTGAAATGTACCCGATGGACACTTTTAAACAAAACAAAAACAAAAGCAGTTCCTTTCAGATCCCTTTGCTACAGCCCTATGGCCGTAAACATGAACTTTCCTGCAAAGTATTATTGTAACAAGACACTGTAACTGTGGTAAATGTTTTCTTGTAACTGTTAACTTTGCACAGATTCTACCTTTGTCTTTTTTTTTTTTTATTTTTTTTTTTAACCACGATTTTGTTTTAAAGCCATGTAGTGTTCCCCTAGTAAAGGAGATGTGACAGTAGCCGTGTCATCGCCTCAGGAGAGCTTTCCAAAGTCGATTCTCCCCCACAAGCTTGTGCTCCTGTGGGCTCGCAGGGTTTGCGAAGCAAGAGATGGAAAGCTCAGGCGGAGCCCTGGCTTCTCTGTGTGGCCTGCACAGACCTGGCGCTGAAGTTCAGGGAGGACTGGGCATTTTCTGTCTTTTAAATGTTAATATTTAGAATGGCAGAGAAGAATTCTAACAGATCTGACGGGCGCAAGTTAAACAAAGCCACCCCGATGACAACATTGGGGAAGAAACCGATCTTGTTCTGGCCCCTTCGTCCTGTCCTGCACTGTTTGTGGAGATAGGTCTTCCATTCTTTAACTCCTGTTTTGTTTTATCCTTTGTCTCTGAAATACCTTTAATTTATTTAATAGCCATTGTTTAGAGTGCTGCCATTTCTCGAGTACCTATTAGTTACTAGTATTTATGTGTATCAGGGGTATGTTTAGTACGTTTCATTTGCAGTAAACTGATCTCCAAAGATTTCCTTTCGAAAATGCTCCCCCCGCCCCTTAATTTTTACATTCCTCACCGTTTTACTAAATATTAAGTGTTCTTTGACAATTTTGGTGCTCGCGTGTTTTGGGGACAGCAGTGAACTGAGTCTGTTCATGACACCAGAAAGTTTGTTTGTTTTAAACTCACAGATCAAATGTGCCTTAATAAATTTCTTTTTCATTTAGATTCCAAACGGTAATAGACTTGCCATTTTAATACTCACCATTGGAGATCTGCTTGTTTGTAAATAGCCTATTGCTCATTTGGAAAAATAAACCAGTGAACGGTATTTTTCTATTGTACTTTTCAGAACCATTTTGTCTCATTACCCCTGTTTTAGCTGAAGAATTGTATTACCTTCGGAGAGTAAAAAACTTCAATGCTGAGTCGTAATGTATGTTGATTCATTTGAGGGGAATATTTATGTGGAACTGTATGGAAGCAAAATGAAACTCACCAGTGCTTCTTTCTCTGCTTTTTCCTGGAGAGAATTACCCCGCTCTCCACCTCATCTGGCTGTGTCTTCGTTCTCTAGAACGAGGGTGTTCAGACAGGGTCCATCCTGGCCCGTGCGCTGCTCACGTCCACGTGCCTTCCGGGCCCCAGACTGGACCTGGGGGTGGGGTGGGGT